AGGAAGGTTTTGGTGTCCTTTTTTTTTATTTTCTCTTCATCCAATAATAATCTCTATCCTGGGTTTATTTCCTTCAGTGAAGAAGAAATTCAAGAAATTTGGTCACAACCTGGCAGAAACAGGGTGCTGGCAGGTCACATTGCTACTGGTTGGATGCATGCTGCTTGAGTACTTAGGACTAATTTAGAGTCAGAAGCACCTTAGGATTAAGTATTGCTGCTAAGTGGCTTTCTTGAGCTTATTGCTAGGAGCCCTCTGTGTCAATGGAAAACATTGGGTACCTCAGAATTAGAGCTTGGAGAGGCAGAGGATAAACAGGATGGTCTAGAGGTAGCTATGGAACTGACACAGGGTGTAGGACCTCGCTATGACTTCAGTTTGCTACTGAGAACAGCTGGAAGGTGCCTCCCACCGTTTTGGATCTGAGTTCAGAAAGATGAAGATAGCCATCTACAGTCTTTGAAGATGTGGCCTTTCTTTTCTTTTAAAATGTAGATGCAGGAAGAGTGGGCGAAGGTTTCTTCCTTATTGTACCCTATCCAGTGGTGAGAGCACTTGTCCAGGATATAGCATAGCCTGGTTTAAATCCACACATTTACACAATAAAGTTAAACCAGACAAAATTGGAATCTGTTGACCTATGAAATATTTTACAAAGCTTATCCGTCTGTGTTGGTTTTCCCTAAGGCTGTTTGAAAGAATGATTAGCAGAATAACGAGAATAAGTGAAAATGTTAGTTAATGCAATTTTGAATTCTTACAATATTCACTAGGCATGTTCCTGTAGCAACTGATTGATTCATTTTTCCAGAAGCTCTTGAAATGCATTACTGGTGTTCACTTCAAAATACCATGAAAAGAGGAAAAAATTAGTACAGATGACTGGTAATCGTATTTTTTTTTTAGAATTATTTGAGATCTATCAATTTATTCACAAAATATCCTGCAACGTTTCCTATTACTGGTCTTTCACTAGGTAAAAACAAATGTCCCAATTAAGCCAATGATGCTCTTTCAGTTGAAATCAAAGCCAGTACCTTGCGGTAAGTAAGCAAAATGATGTAATAACTATGTACTTTTCTTAACACAACATTTATAATTTGCAAGTCTGCTATTCTGTAATCCATATTCGGGAATATTTCATTCCTAACTGAAATGCAGACACTACCTTGGTGTAATAAAACAGCTGTTCAATAACATAAAGGAATACCATATTCAAGCTCAGAAGATTCTGTTAATTGAAAGAAGTTGAAACAGCTGATGAAGAGTCACTATTTAAAATCTAAATAATACTATGATAGTCTTAAATGTTCAGATGCCCTTTAACTTGTATTTAACAGTCAGCCTTATTTAATGATATGGTGTGAGCAGGAGGCTTAATAAAAATTCAAAATGACACTTTTAACCTCATTCATATCACTTACAAAAATACGTAGAGTTCTTTGAAACTTGTTTCATCATTTTTTCCATTGAAGTTTTTAAAGACATGCTTATACAAGATATATTTCTTACGTATTTGCAAAGACATCTTATTTGTGGACTTATGAACTCTTTGGCACCATATGTCCAGATGTTTGAAATAATTTGTTTATGGGAAATATAATTAAATGCACTGAAGGGGTTGTTCTGAGCTCAGTTTACCTACTTATGCAGTTGCTTAGCTAGCAATCTCTCACAATTTGATATTATAAACCAAGCAGTCAGAAAGTACATAAATTAAGACAGATGATGATATTCTGGACCACATGCAAAAAGTGAAAAATTGCAAGATGATATTTTGAAATAAAAATCTCTACTAGTTTATAAAAGAGAAAGTTTCAAAAAAATCTCTTTTTAATCCCTCATCCATATTGATTGATGTACATATAGTAGTGCAGCAAATAACTAGCTGTTTATCAGCATGGAATAGTAGTTTAAAAGATACCTTCGGGCACAAACTATTAAAAATGTCTACTGCTAAACTGAAGGGAAAAGTAACATTTTTTTTACTTTGGCACCATTTTTTCTTTCTTTTGGTGACTCTCAAAATAGCCTGACAGAGCCTTTTCTCCATGTCTCATAAATAATATTTTTTTAATACCTTAGCAAAAGCAGCTCTATCATCACAATCCCTGGTGAAGAGCACTCCATCTTGTCCTCACATGTGCTTCTCAAATTTATTAGCGTACAGGAACATAGTGGAAACTTTCAGCAGCTGCAACTTGGTCATCACGTACATTTGGCTTCTTCCATTACATTTCCATTATCTTCCACTACTTTTCTCTAATGTATTTCCATAAGAAAACCCTCAATCTTGAAAGTTCGTAACTGCTTGTGAAATAAAATATGGGTGTTTACCACAAATTAAGAGAAGGCATTCGTTACCTCTGCTTCCAAGAGCAATCAGGAAAGACAGGATTCAAACCCAACTGTTGTTACATCTGGGTTTGTACTAAAAGAAATTTGAAAAACTGAAGACAGTGTTTGATTTTTCATTTATTCAATGGGATCAAACAAATCCTGGACACCAGAAACCTGTTTCAGTTCCATAACAATGGGAAAGAAAAAAACCGCGGTCTTTGAGCTATTACACTGGACTAGCTAAACAAAATACAAGGAATTGGCAATAGTCCTTTACCAAACTGCTTTAGCTAGAGTCAGAGATATTCTTAGGGTGTGAACAGAGAAATTTGTTTCAAACAAGAATTCTAAACTGATTGGGACAGTTTCTATACTATACAAATCTCTGTGATATTATTGATATAGTCAAATCTGTTAAGTATTTTAGTAGAGATTTTGGTCTCCTGTTTCATATGAGTAACATAGTTTATTCAAGTTTTAAAGTTTCTTCAATTCCAAATGTTGCTAATACAAAAGAATAAGACGCTGCCAAAATTGACAAAGTACATGGACTTTGATAGAGATTGTAAGGGATCATGCACAATGCAGGACAGCTTTCATTGTCAAGGGAATCTCACTATTGTCATGGGATTCAATTATTATCTTTAATGTTAATGGTTAGGCAAGGAGAGGGCAAAGTAAGTGTACAATCCACCTATGCTGAGCAGACTGGATAGGGAGTTGTTTAGCTGTGCTATGGGAGTGCCATGCTTCTTGGTTCGGGCTTATGTTTGCACAGCTTCTAGACTTTTCTTTCTACACTGTATATTATTTATACACACATATATATATGTAAAATAAAAGGCAGATAAACTTCCTTCTATCTTGCTTTCACATAGAAGTCTGTGTTACATGCCATTTCAGTGTGGCTACATTGGAGCATTCACCAAAGTCAGGACTGTTTAAAATTTATGGGGTTTATTCTTCTTTTGTCAAGCATTTTCTACATACAGAACATTCACGGAGTGTAAGTTACAGAAGAAAAATGTATGAGACAGACTACTGCAAATAAGTGAGTAACAGACAGTTTACATGATTCTTGTTTGTTCACAATGGAGAAAAGTTGTTAAAAAGGAAAAGATTCAGTAGCTAGAAATGTAAGCAGACTCTTATCTTAGTTAAATCTACCTACCAGGAGGTTTGCTCAAGCTAAAGAGAGATCTACTGTACCACACAGGGCAGGATGCTAAATGCACACAGATTACAATGCTAGAAAATTCCAGATTTCTAAGCAATTTTACACAATCTAAATTGCAGTAAAATTTTGTTTAAAAAAAGATATTTTTTTCTGATTGTTTTCAGTAAATGGAGGTCAGTTTATGAGCTTATAAGCATTCTTTAGCAAAAACATAATAAAAATAAAAATACTCCCAAACTTTTAAGTCATTGCTCTAAGTCTGGATAGTTGTTTACTGCTGGCTTTCTGATCCTACTGACTTGTTATTCTACTTCTGGGAATCTTGTTTTTCCCATTTACATGTTTAAGCATTGTTCATATTAGAATTCTAAGTAAACAAACTATAAAAAATACAAAGTTTTTGTTGTTCGTTTGTTTTTTGCACTAATCCAATTGGATGCATGGAATAGAAAACCTGTTGAGCTAACCAAATGGTTTAATAAATATGGATCAATGGTACGATGCATAAGTAGAAATGTTATCTACTGGATGTAGACTTCAGTTCTTTGCATTTTCAGTTTCTTAAAATGCATTTTGTTTGTTTTTAAATAACAGTTTCCTCAATGACATAAGTGAAGCTTTGTGATGCCAGGTTTTTAGAACATGGTTTACTCTGAAAGGATAAGTACAATGTTTCTCTTTAGTGGAACTGAAACTCCTTGCTGATGAAACCCTGTGATAGCTGAAAAACCTAATATCTATTTTTTTCTAAAAAAAGGTTAAGCTTCTGCAAACAACCCTCTCAACTAAGACTTACCATAAAAATAAACTCCTCAAATTGCAGTGATCAGAAAACACTGCAAATATAATTTCTCCTTTTTTTCTCTCCATGTATGTTCCACAACTTCAGACTAGAAATTTGATACTAAAAGTTTCTTTTCAGTGACAAGCAATCCTGTAGCCACAGTGGGAATAAATTATGCAATTTCTATGCTTTACCTTTCATGTGAGACTTTCGCTTCAAGGCACAAAAAGATTAAACAGTGGACTGGACAGGACAAGACATAACATTTCAGTTTAAGGAGTCAAAGGTTGTATGACAGCTCTTATTTTGTGTCTGAAGCAAACCAAACCAAAATTTGAATCATAGTTAAGTCTTCCATTTACAAATGCAAAGTATCATATTAAATTCCCTGAAGCTTTTTTGTTTTTTTTTTCCTACTTCCTTTAAAATAATGTATGATATTTATCATCAATTTCAATATTTAGTAATTTCAGTCAAACAACCCAATCTCAGCTGATAATTAATGAGTACCATTTTCAAATAGCCGTTGTTTTAGTAACTTTTATGTGAAAGTTGTTTCAAATTGTGTTCAGGTCAAAGAAATAACAGGTATAGAAGGGTCTAAATTTAAAATTGAAATTGTGTAAATTTGAAGAATGGTGTAATTTAAGTGCAATGTACTGTAAAACTATTAATTCGGTAAATATCTAACACAGATCCTTATGCTTCTCCAACCCAAATTACTGTGTTGCCTCTCTCAACTTCAGTGATTTCACAATTTAACTTATTGAGCCGTCCATCCAGGATAAACAGAGATTCCTTGGAAGGGGTCATGAGATACTGACCGAAAAGGCCACTGTCTTTTATAAGACGGTTCTTACTGTTCCAAGGCCATTCGCCTGCCTTGACAGGCTCCTTCAGACTCTTCACCATCTTAACCTTGCCAGAGGAGAGCTCCACAAAAAGAACATCAGTTTGTGTGCTGGAGCTACAGTAGATATTGTATTGATGAGCTTCAGTGAAAGATGGCTGAAAAGCTACATCAGATATGTGCAAATTAGTGTGAATGTCAAATGCATCCTGTATTTCTCCTCTCATTGTTATGGACTGGATCCTCATGAGACCTTTTGCATCATCAATGCTGACAAGGTAGTGTCCATCTGGAGACATATGTGGTGTGCCTGTTACGTCGCCATTGTATCCAATCACAGAATCAGTAACGCTATCCACTATAAGCTGTGGTAGGACAGCCCCAGTGGTATCAGGCTTACAGCAGATAAAAAAAAATCCTCCAAGATGTGTATAAGCCAGTGACTGAGGAATGCAATTATAATCCTTTAAACTAATTGTCTTGATGTACGACATAGTTTCTAGATCAATTTTCTGGAGCACAGGCTCATCCTTATGAAGAATAAATCCAAACCTGGAAGGAAAAGCACAAAATCAAAAAAGTCAGAGCTATTGTGTGCATTATGTACAAATGGGGAAAGCCATTATAAGCAAAGCAGATAAGTTAATATGTGCAGCAGTGTATTGCTATATATCTCAGCTTCAGATGTTTCAGATATTAAGCAGTTTATAATATTTAATTTTTAGTGTTCTTGCAATTGTAATTTAGAGTGCATAAAATAAAATATCTAAAAAACATTTATCTGATTAATGGGATAAGGTTTTTTTTCCTACTGACATAGGGGAAAAGGTAAACATTACTCTGAGCATATCTATTCAGTTATAACTTTTACAAAAGCCAGGAAGGAGAAGAAGATTAAATATCAACAGATAGTACATCCCACATATTTTAATTCAATTCATATAGTTCTTCAACTTTCTTAGGAACATCAGTTTAACCCAGCGCTCATTGTTATTCAGATAATTATCTGAATCTTCCTCATTTTAATTCAGTAGAAATGAATGTCGTACAAGGATTTAGGTTTATGCCTCCCAACTATCCAAGCCCCATATTTCTTATAATTTAAATGACCCTTTATGCTTTTCCATACATCAAGGAATTTTCACTGAACATGAATAATATGGTTAAACTTTAAAATCCTAGAGCTGAATGTTTATAACATTTTAAATATAAGCTATATGATTATTCTCTAATGTTAACATATAACTTCTGACTGCACAATCATTTGACTGTATATATGCAAAAACAACCACTCAATATTATGGAATCATGTGAAAGTATATTAGTTTTGCTTATAATGTAAGTAGCTTTCACAGCATTTTTCCCAAACAGCTGTTTTCCTTTGTCACATTTCTTAACATATTTTCCTCTGAATCTTTGATCCTAAGAACGAAGCTGCATGCTCATATATAATCTAAAAATACTTTTCACATCCTGTTGATATAAAGCACTATGACAGCCAGAATGTTCCAACAATTGAGTTGACAATAGCACAAAATTTTTACACTATACTTTGTAACTCCAATATATTTACTAATCAGTGAATCACCAAAGTAACAGGCAAAAATGTTTCAGGACATTGTTCAGTCAGTTCCTCTGACGTAAGACAGGGTGAATTATATTTGCACTTCCTACTGAATTGACATAAGAACATTTTTAATTTTAGCCCCACCTTCCAAAATCCTTGCATACTGCTTCAGTATCATAGGATCACCGAACTATAGAATGATTTCGATTGGAAAGGACCTCTGGATTTCATTTAGTCTAATTCCCACCCAAAGAAGTGCCAGTGTGAATCAGACTGCCCACAATTACGAGTTGAGCTGATTATGAGATCATTTTTGTCTTTGATTATTCAGCCAGATGTAACCTGAATTAAATTGTCTTGGTTAGAAAAAAGGTGAGCCTTTATGAAAGTTATGTCAAGATAACTTGACAATTACTGTTACTTTTCTATCCAAAACGTCTGTTGTTCTGTCACAGAGGAAAACTAGGATCATCAGGCAGAATTTGATTTTTAGCTGTTTTGGCAATCTAATATTATCCTTTTCTTAATCTTTTTGGGCAGGCATAAAGTCATTGTTTCCTGATTCTGTTATTATGAAGTAAGCATTTTTTGGTCATGGGAAACAAACTTGTGCTGTATTATGCACAGAATCATCCTGTAACAGAAGAGGTTAAATAGCAAGCAACATTCTGACATTTCAGATGTTTATGGTATACCTCAGTGTTAAATAACCGTTACACACATGAACAGTTAGAAAAGGACAATAGCATTAGCTTATTGATTGTGTTTTATATAACAGCCTCCAATGTAAAGCAACAATCAGTGAACTGTCCAAGAGCGTTCACAACATTCTGGACAATGACTTACACGTATCTGCTACTTAATCTTTACTCCTGCAAAACAATAACCAAAAAACCCAGTGCATCTTAAAAGGACTTTTTTCTGGATGAGAATTGTCTGAGGGCTAGATATTGTCATTACTGTTGGTTTCATTAATAACAAATGCAAAACAAAACTGAAATATCTAGATTGCTAAATCAAGCATTAAAAATCAGAAAACATAAAAGCAACAAAAACACAGAAAGTTATGTTAGATTTAATATTATACACAATATAAACTCATCCAAACTTCTTGACCTGTCAAGTTTATTGTATATAATCAATCTTCAGCCCTATTTCTAATACAATTAGGTTCATGTAATTACATGCAGACCGCTCTCTCTTCACCCCTGCCCTACTCCAGTGTTAGTGCTTTGGAATCCATTGGCCACATCTGAGGAGCAGAGGTTGCAATGTGTGTGGGGGGTTCATGTGATGTAGATCGGTGGCTGAGTGGAGGATAACCATGCTCCTGCAGAGGGAAGCGTGGTGTGAACTC